AATTCATGGCAAAAGCTTGGACACTTGGACAGATTCCGAAGTTCGAGCAATCGATTACATCGGGTAGTTCTTGGCATGGCCGGATTCGAGCTGCCGACGTCAATTCAAGCCTCTCGATAAATCATGGAAAAGCTTGGACACTCGGACAGACTTCGTGCAATGACAGTGACTCAAAGCATGGATGGCACATGAGCTTAGGGAAATGTTGAAGTGCTCAAAATGATCAATCTATCAAGGGCTTCTCAAATGGAAGCACCATCCACGATGTCTCAAAGCCCCATGTTTCAAGCGGCCAACCAACTTTGGGAGAAGCAGGACGGCCGTTACGTGTGCCTCGAACGGCACCCCATGGTCCTTTCCGCAATCACATGCGGCAAGTGCTTCGCATCGAAGCAAGCCTTGGAAGCCCATCGGCAGAGAACCGGATGCAAACCGGCAAAGCTACCAAGCGAACGACCGTTCTCGAGATTGCACGGCTTGAATCCGGATGCGGCTCGTCACGTATTGCAGCAAAGCAACCACGAGGCCGTTTCAAAGTACCGCAGGACGGCTGCAGGAGAACGGGCCGTGTTCCGTGCGAGGCATCTGCCAAAGTATCGAGAGATGGCCTTGTATGCCGTACCCAAGCCGCCTATGCCCGCGGCGCCACAGTATCTGCCGCCACCCATCTCCTGGTTGCTCGCAGATGCTTCGCTTACCGCCGAAGACATGAGAGCAAAGTTTGGGAGAGGAGAGATCAAGCTCAGCCACGCAACATGGTCTCTCAAGTTTCACCCCGACAAAGTCGAGGTAAGTATGCCCACTTTGATCGATGCCAAACGACCGTAGCATCATGTCAGATGATGTACACGTTTTTGCAGCTTTCTAAGTGCGTGAGCAAGTCAAAAATGATGTACATGTGCTGCCATTTGGATAACTTCATTCGACCATGCTCATATGTATCCTATCTGCAGGCGAGATCTGCGAAGCATCTCCAAGACTTCGTTCGATTCTACGATCAAGTCATGACGCGTGAGCGTGGAAGCTTGGATGCGGTTGTGGTTCGAGCATACTATTCGACACAATTGTTCGGTCCGTTGAACGCCGATCGTTTTAAATCAGGGTGCGTCGCGCAAAAGGCTGGGGGTATGCTTTGGAAAGCTTGGTTGATTTTGGAAAAGGCACTTGTCGATCGATACCAAGCCTACTTGGCGGCCTTTCGTGAGTACGAAATTGAACTGCAAGAGTTAAAGAGAGCACTTGAGGAAGCGCGGCAAAGCTGGATCGATGACAAGATAGAGCAGAAGTTCAAAAGATCAAAGGCCTTTAAGCGCTGTTACGAAGACGTATCGTTGTTTGTGTGTGTGGAAATCGGCTATCAATCAGCCGCGCCATTGACTTTTGGAAGGACGTTGTAGCTCGACTCAACAATTCACCAGGCTAATTAACGGCAGTGCTCGTTCGAAAGCGGTCGGTCGGAATATTCTCATCTCAAATCAGACTCAAAAAGATGGAAGTCATTTTGGGACATCGCCCCCAATATCAGGTGGCCGTGTCAGAAATGGATAGAAATGTACTCGAATCTGCAAAGTGTGCAATCGTCCGTTCATATCGTGACCTGGGATTGTTGAGCACTACTCTCGACGTTGGAGGGTTGGCCGGGATTCGTGCGTTGACCCAGCCTTTCAATCTGAGCCATATTACTCGAGTTCTCGTGAGAGCGCTAGTTGCCGACGGCTTCAATGCTAACTGGGATAAAACCGGGCTGCATGGTTTAGGATCGCCTTATGTCGTTCATGTAAGCTGGAGGTCCGCCTTGAAATGCGCAAGACAGTCCAGACGGGATGCTTTAAAAAGGCGTCTACTTCGGAAATCAAAGCACGAAAAACCGAGAAGGAGCTCGGTAGATAATGAAGCTTCAAAAGTGGACGACCACGATGCAGATGATACTGCTAGTCGTTCGAGGGACGATAGTGAGCCCGTTCTTTTCCTTGAATCGATTGCAAATCCTGAAAAAATGCAATTCTTTGAGGAACCATCACAATGATGGCCCGTTAAGAGATAATATGAATACGTTCAAGACGCTCCAATCCCCAAAAGTGTACAACGATATTCATGTTTTCTGGAGTGATAGTCACATTTCGGCCGAAAAGAGACTCAATAAAACGCCCTAGAACGTGAAATGGGCCTGAAAACCATGGAAAGCTTTATGCGTAACTCGATTTCATGAAAATTTAAAACATTTATATTCATATTATCTGAAGAGGCCTTGGTTTGGCTGGTCGCAAATTCTTTTCTGAATTATGTACATAAGTGAACATGGAAGCAAAAGAGGCTTCGACAAGGTCCATAACCATACCATCAGCGGTTACAAATGCGGCGTCGTTGCTGGAGAGAGTCTTTGATGACGGAACAAGAAAGCCCATCACTCGAGCACAGTATAGTGCCCATGTGATGAGAATCTACAAAGGCCTGTACGCTCCCAGCGAAGACTTCACGAGCTTTGCGTGGCTCCTGGATGTTGATGGAGTCATCGACTATCTGGCAACCGCATATCGTGACAAGTTATCCATGCAAAGCACCGGTATTACCCCCTTGTTGGTTATCGCTCGAAAGACATTTGCGGACAACAAAGCGATCTACGATACACTTTATGGGCGATACAAGGTCGTTCGTGAACTTATGGAGAAGGCTCGTCCACCTCCACAGCAGATGACGCAAAAGGAGTTCAAGAATTGGAAGTCTTTGGAACAGATCAACGAACGCCGCGTGCAACTTCAAAGACACGTGAACAGGTACATCCTTCCGAAAGTCCCCAACGAGCTGACCGTAGCAGAAAAGGTCATCTTGATCCGTCACCTCGTTTTATGCCTGTTCACGTATCAACCGGCCATCAGGAACGACTATTCTGACCTCCCTATCGTGCGCTTTGCGAACATCGAAGCCGATGTTTCGAAAGAGTTGATCAAGGGAGGCTCGAACTTTCTATTGGAGTTCGAAAAGGATCAGTTTCGACTGGTCCTGAAGGATTTCAAGACCCAAAAGTCGCTCGGAGACCAACACATCAATATGTCACAACGAAGAAACAACGTGATCGCAGAGAGCTTAGTTGCCTTTCCTCGAACGTACCTTCTGAGCAGAATGCAAACTCCTGACGCCCCTATGACCTCAAATTACATGACGAAATTTTGTGCATCCATCTTTCCGGACGCTCGAGTGGGTTCTTGCCTGTTGCGGAAGATCTGTATTTCAACACAAATGCGAGAGGCTCCAAGCCTTGCCGAACGGAACAAGCTTGCAAAAGCGATGCTGCATAGTGCGTCGATGCAGGTCCAAACGTACGAGAAGAAATTCTATGCAGACGGGACGAGGATCAAATTCTAATTTCTGAGGCAATCTTGAACGGACTTCAATGCCAATCGGGACAGCTTCGGTTGGTGCCGGTTGCTCGACAACGTCGGGCAACTCGTTAGGAGACTTCAATGTCCATACAAGAAGGTGATAGGACGTACTCGGGCATGACTTTTGTTGGCGGTGTTATGTCGAAGCCGGCTTCCACCAATCTTGCTAGCGTCCGCTTATGAAACGTCTTTGTGGTGCCCGAAAGAAACCGTTGATAAGCTTTTTGCATCAGAATTTCTTCTCTCGACTGCGACTATAGTATGCCTTGACGTGAGCGTTGTGCTTCTCCGGATGCATTCGCTGGTATCGCCTCTGATTCTCACAGGCACGGCATGTGCAGCGATAGACGGTCACTTCTGAGCTGGCCGGGTGATTTTGTGGTGACATGATATGCCCTACGGTGTAGCCAAGAAAAAAAACGCGTTTCGAACGAATGAACGCGTTTCGCCGTCGATGTTTTTTTTCTTGACCACTCGGTATAGAATAACCATGACCAGCACAGCAGACCAAGGCCAGCACGCAAGCGGCTCTCAGGCCTTGGCCCCCTCAGTGATCGAGCCCCGAGGGCCTAGAGGGATCAAGGAGGAGATCGAATACTTGGCTAGTCTTGGCTACTACGGCATTCCAGCCAACGTATCCTTGAAGTCGAATGGCAAGAAGGGTGTCCGTCTTCCCGTTTGGGAACACATAAAGACTCCGGAAATTTGGAAGGAGAGCATTTGTGGCATACTGAAGCGATTCGCGAATCCGAACGGAATTGCAATTCTAACAGGGCCAAGCGGGTTGTATGTGGTCGACGTAGACGTTGGCGGAAGTGACAAGAAAACGCCCGGCACGTGCCTCTGGAACAAATTGGTTGCCAAAAACGGCAAGCTCGATACATTGCAATCAATTACCGGAAGCGGAGGCAGACATGTGTACTTTCGAATGGATCAAACGGTCGGCTTAAAGATGCTGAACAACTTTGAAGGATTGACGGTTGACGGTGTAAGCTATGCGGTTGACGGAAGAGGCATTGGAGGCGTGATTTTTGCGCCACCAACGGCATATAGTGCAAACATCAAGCTTCTGCAATACCGTTGGGTTTCTGAGCCCGTGCAATTCGAGAAGGGCGATGTAAAAGGGATGGCCGGATGGCTCGTGAATGTCATCAATAACGGACGAGCCGGACAAGTTAAGCCGCGATTGGCAGATGTTTTGCACACCACCATTGAGAGCGATGCACAAGTCGAAGATTTGGAGCCGACCGACAACGAGCGCGTATCAAGTACCAATGAAGCAGTGGACTTCTCACCGGATTCGATCGCCGTCGTTGAGGTGAAAGAAATGCTGCGCAAACAATCCCCAGATGACGCAACGGCAATATACGGAGGGTCGACGACGCTCTCAAACGGCAACCGCTCCTTTCAATTTCGCGTGAAGAAGGCGCGAAATTGCTATCTGGGGAGCAATCACAACGGCTCCAACAACTTTACGGGGATACAAGGATGCGCCGGGGACTTTCAAGAGCTCTACTATCGGTGTTTTGGAACCTCGTGTGCTGGTCAAAATACCAAGCTTCTTGGGCGATTGAGCATTGCCGCAGCTCTCGAGCAAGTGGGGGTGAGAGAGTTTGGAATAAGAGATGGCGTGGTGAGTTGTCCGAGCACGCTGAGCGCTCGGCTTCCACATCCATTTTTGAAGGCGATGGTAGGTAAGAGCGATTGGGGTGCCGCCTCAATCTTTGCCAAGCTGTTTGAGCACGACAGACGGATCGTTTATGATGCGGGTATTTTCTGGACTTGGAACGGGACGTCATGGGTGCAGTGCGACTTGGACGCAACGGACATCAAAAGCGCTTTCATGTTCCACATGGGCAGAGTGAAAGCCTATTGGCTGAAGCATCTCTTGACTCTGTGCAATGAAGAGCTTGACGTGGCAAACATGACAAAGACGGCAGAGCTGGAGCGTCTTCAAGCGGCTCAAGAGACCGCGGATTCACGAGAGACAAAGAGAAAGGCCAAGAATGAAGAGAAGGCGATCTTGAAAGCCTTTCAACAGGGCAAGGACGACGCGGAAAAGTCAGTCAAATTGTAACGATTACGAT